ACAAACAAAACAAAAAAACCCTCACTGCCTCCTCCACTACTCATCTCTCACCAGCCTGTAAGGAGATTCTCCCACTTGTTTTGGGGATTCTCGGGTGGTGGTGGCTGGGGGTTGGAGCGTCCCCACAGCTTCTAGGGATGAATCTGTCTACCATCCCTACAGGGCATGATCCTTCCCTGACACACAGACTGAGGGAGGGGCCAAGGAGGGGCCCAAGTATAGCCTCAGACTTTCTCTAGCCACTATTCCTTCCTAGTTGTCAGCCCAGATGCTGAGCCCAGGCCTCTCAACCTCCACTATCAGGCTAGCTTAATCTTATTTCCCAGGAGGGCTTCCGAGCCAAGGTGAATTAAGGGCCATGGCCAAGCTCTAAGCCTACCCCAAGTCTTTTTTTTTTTTTTTTTTTAAGACAGGGTCTTACTCTGTTGCCCAGGCTGCAGTGCAGTGGTGCAATCTTGACTCACTGCAATCTCTGCCTCCTGAGTTCCAGCAATTCTCCCACCTCAACCTCTCGAGTACCTGAGACTACAGGCAGAAGCCACCATGCCTGGCTCATTTTTGTACTTTTTGGTAGAGACAGAGTTTTACCATGTTGGCCAGGCTGGCCTTGAACTTCCGACCTTAAGTGATCCACCTGCCTCGTCCTCCCGAAGTGCTGGGATTACGAGTGTGAGCCACTGTGCCCAGACTGAGCCTACCCAAGTCTTATCAAGCCTAGAAAACATGGAGGACCTCAAGAGGGTGTCCCGGTCTTGTGCACTGTGGATTCCACATGCCACAGCCCTGCCTGTCCAAAGTGCCTTGTTACCAACACAATTGTTTTGAACAAGAAACTAAGGTCAGAAAATGACAAGGCTTGGGCCTCAGTCTTTTGAAGTTTTCATAAAATAGCATGAATATTCAACCTCTAGGAAGGAAAGAAGAAGGTATCAGGGAACAGGGTTTTATGGCCAATTTGCAGACAACTTCCCAGAGAAGGAACTTTGGTCTGTGAGCGACTGTAGGACACTGAGGAGGAGGCGCCGCCTGATCTGCTCGGTTGGGGTCCGGCTGGGCCATGAAGTTATTGCCTGAAGAGGACCCCAAAACCCAGAGTGCTCTTCTTTATTTTTATTTGTTTGTTATTATTTTTATTTAGTTAGTTATTTTTATTTATTTCTTTATTTTTCCAGACAGAGTCTCGCTCTGTCGCCCAGGCTGGAGTGAAGTGGCACGATCTTGGCTCACTGCAACCTCCGCCTCCCGGGTTTCAGCCACCATATCCGGCTAATTTTTTTATTTTTTAGTAGAGATGAGGTTTCACCATATTGGCCAGGCTGGTCTGGAACTCCTGACCTCGTGATCCACCCGCCTCAGCCTCCCAAAGTGCTGGGATTACAGACGTGAGCCACCGCGCCCGCCCTGCTCTTTTTTTGTTTTGACTGCTTTATTTATTTTGAGATGGGGGTCTCGCTATGTTGATCAGGCTGGTTTCAAACTCCTGTCAAGCAATATTCCCATCTTGACCTCTCAAAGTGCTGGGATTACAAATATGAGCCACTGCACCTGGCCTTTTTTCTTTCTTTCTCCTTCTTTTTTGAGACAGGGGCTCACTCTTTTGCCCAATCTGATCGCCAAGTCCTAGGCTCAGGTGATCCTCCCGCCTCGACCTCCCAAAGTTCTGGGATTACAAGCGTGAGCCATTAAGTGTTCCTCTTAATGACACAGCAGATGCGAGTTTTACTGAGTACCTCCTTGTGCCAGGCACTTTGCTGTTGCCGGGGAGGTGGAAGGGAGATACACTCCTTCATCGGCCAAATTCCTGCCTTCTGGGAGCTCAGAATCAAGAAATAAATAATAGGGCAGTAAAAGGGGCTGGGATTACATACAAAAAGAACATTAATGCCTGAACTTTTTACAATCTGCTCGATAAGCTTTAATTCCAGTAACCTATTTGAGCTTCCCAACAAAAGGCCAAGCTCGCGCAGCAGACAGGAGGATCACTTTGTCATACAAATAGAAACAGGCTCAGAGAGGAAGTCATTTGTTTTAGTTCTCACTAGGACAAATCTATTGGGTACTAAGAAAGTTTGAAGGCTGGGGACAGTTTGAGTCGCCCTGCTCGCACCCTAAGCACCTACAACAGTGCCTGGCTATAGCAACCACAACAATAACAATAACATTTAAAAACAGGTGTTCGGTAAGGACCTGCGGCCTTAGAACCCCGGGAGGGAAGTGACGTTCGAGGAGGCGGAGCAAGCCGCGAAGGCGGCCTTCCCCACATCTTCCCGCACCTGAGCGCGCGAACGCATCTCACTCAGGCCCAGACGCGGACTTCTCCCCGGGTCCTGGTCCTGCATCCTCTCCCACAGCCTCCGTTAGGGGGTGGGAAAGGACGTTTTGCCATAGGTCACTGAGGCCACCATCTGCTCTCTTACTGGCCAAGGCCGAAAAAAGGTAGTCCTCCCATTCGCTAGAGGGCAAACCCCAGCAAGCCTATTGGCTGCGCCGTCCGCGGGCCTTGGTCCGCTTTGAGGCTGGCTGCGGCTGCGAGAGGAGGGCGGGCGGGAGGCTAACTGTTGTCGTGGTTACGCGGAGGCACGTGTGCAGTCCCGGAAGCGGCGCGAGGAAGCAGCTCCGCGCGCGCCGCGGCAGGAGGTGCCGCCCGGTCCGCTCGCTGGGCCATGGAGTCGTTGCCTGAGCCCGCGTCCCGTTGTCTTTTGCTTCTCTCCTTGCTGCTGCTGCTGGCCCCGGAGCTGGGCCCAAGCCAGGCAGGAGCTGAGGAGAACGACTGGGTTCGCCTGCCCAGCAAATGCGAAGGTAAGGGGGCGGGGCCCGCGGGGCGTATCCTGCCGGAGGGGCGGGCTCCGTGGGCGGAGCTTGCGGAGCAGCGTCAGGGGCTGCTAGGTTCTGAGCCCTACCGGGTCTCTTCGTTCCTTGAACCTGCTGTCCGCTGGGCGCCGGGACGCCAGGACGCTGCAGCGGGCGAGAGATCCGGTCCTAGTATTCCGATCCTTGGAGTTCACACATTGGTAGAAACAAGCAATGATAATTCAGAGTAGTAGATGCCATGATAGGGAAGGTACAGGACTTCCTTTTAGGGGCCGGGCGAGGAGCATCTGGTCTAGCCTGCAGTGGGGGAGGGGGTGGGCGAAGGCTGTGTGCAGAGGGGAGTCGGAGAGGGCTTCATACAGGAAGCACGAAGAGGAATTAGGAGTTAGCTGAGTGAAGAGAAGTGGAAAGAGAGGGCCCATTCAAAGGAAACTACAGAGGCAGAGGCCTGTCGGCTGAGACGCTAAGGACGAGTTTGAGGAACTGAAAAGGCCCAGATGACTCTCTTGGGGGAAAAGAACCTAAGACTTTCCCCTTTGTGCCCTCACTGCAACCCAATCTGTGTAGTTGTCTGTTGCACTCACTCACAGCTCCTCGAAGGCAGGGACTTTGTCTTAGATACGTATTCACAAAGTATCCGGTAGGCACTCCTATGTTTTGGGAATACACATGATTAAGTGGGGGGCTGTGAATGTGTGTGAGGAGGAGGATTTGGGCCTAAGGGGCCCTTTGGGGGAATAATAGAGCCTGTGGGGAACTTGGCGAATGAAGATTGTAGGACCATGGAGAGATAGGCATTGAGGAACTACATAGAGGGAGCTGCCAGGGAGCCAGGACTGTAAAGGACCTATTTCTTTTTCCTCCCCTCCGTTTCTCAGTTTTCTCCTCAGACCTTACAGTCATGCCTGCCTTCCCAGCCCTGTAACCCCAGGACCCCCAGAAAGTTGGCTGTGAATCTCTCATCTGAATTGAAAGCCTACATCAGGCCAGATGTTCCCTAAACACTGGGAAGTGGGGTTGGGGTAAGTTTGAGACACATAATCCGTCCATTAGAGAGATTAAAAGGAGATGCTTCAGAGATAAGCCGACTTCACTGGTAGAGCCACCAGTATGAGTTCAAGCCTGTGCCTTCCCCTTACTTTTTTTTTGAGACGGAGTTTCACTCTGGTTGCCCAGGCTGGAGTGCAGTGGCGGGATCTTGGCTCACCGCAACCTCCACCTCCCAGGCTCAAGTGATTCTCCCGCCTTCAGCCTCCTCAGTAGCTAGTATTACAGACATGCGCCACCACGCCCGACTAATTTTGTATTTTTGGTAGAGATGGGGTTTCTCCCTGTTGGTCAGGCTGGTCTTGAACTCTCGATCTCAGGCGATCCACCCGCCTTGGCCTCCTGAGGTGCCGGGATTACAAGCATGAGCCACGACGCCTGGCCTTTTTTTTTTTGAGTGGAGTCTCCCTCTGTCGCCCAGGCTGGAATGCAGTGGCATGATCTCGGCTCACTGCAACTTCTGCCTCCCAAGTTCAAACGATTCTCCTGCCTCAGCCTCCCAAGTAGCTGGGATTACAGTCGCCTGCCACCATGCCCAGCTAATTTTTGTATTTTTGTTAGAGATAGGGCTCCACTATATTGGCCAGGCTGGTCTTGAACTCCTGACCTCAAGCAATCCACCCACCTTGGCCTCCCAAAGTGCTGAGCTTCTGCTCCTGGCTGCCCTTTCACTCTTCCTCTAGTCCTGATAGCCCTTTTCTTTTTTTTTTTTGCTTTTGAGATTTTGCTCTTGTTGCCCAGGTTGGAGTGCAGTGGCACGATCTCAGTTCACTGTAATCTCCGCCTCCTGGGTTCAAGCAATTCTCCTGTCTCAGCCTCCTGAGTAGCTGGGACTACAGGCATGAACCACCATGCCTGGCTAACTTTTGTATTTTTCGTAGAAACCAGGTTTCTCCATGTTAGGCTGGTCTCAAACTCCCGACCTCAGGTGATCCGCCTGCCTCAGCCTCTTAGGGTGCTAGGATTACAGGCATGAGCCACCTCGCCCAGGCTTTTGTTTTGTTTTGTTTTGAGATGGTGTCTTGCTCTGCCACCCAATCTGGAGTGCAGTGGCGTGACCTCGGCTCACAGCAGCCTCCATCTCCTGGGTTCAAGGATTCTCCTGCCTCAGCCTCCTGAGTAGCTGGGACTACAGGCGTGTGCCATCACACCTGGCTAATTTTTATATTGTTAGTAGAGACGGGGTATAGGGAAACAGCTCTACATCACCTGTGGGTACCCTGAGTTCGGTGGGACAGAGAATGACAAAAAGACAGATTAAGAGAGAAAGTGGGACCAGGGGGCCATCACTTTATTACTTTGGAGGAGACAGTGAAGGCCCAAGCTCTGATCATCCACACTATTTATTGGTTTACAATCACTTTGATCTATAGGGTAGGGGTGGAGTGAATCAGTGAGCCAGAAGTCCTAAGGATTGATAACAGTGGCTGTTTGGGAGTTTTACAAAATGAGAACATGTGGTTATCTTTAGTTTATTATCTATGTACAGCTGGTGGGACATGGACCTTACAAGGAGCCTACAAGTCTGGCTATGTCATAGTGCTTATGAAGGGGTTTTATGTCCTTGAACACAACATTTATGGTAAAAGAGCCTAGGTCACCCTGCACCGGAACATGAGGCATGGAGAGACCTTCCTCCTCAGAGGCCTCCTGCGGCCTTCTGCAGCTTGTTGTTCCTTGTTTATGTGTTACTCATAACCAATTTATGTAAGCACTCTGTAAGTCCTTTCTCCTTTGCTGCTTTTCCCAACAACCGGGTTTCACCATTTGGCCAGGCTAGTGTCGAATTCTTGACCTCGGGTGATCTGCCCACTTCGGCCTCCCAGACTGCTGGGATTATAGGCATGAGCCACCGTGCCTGGCCCAGCTAACTGATAGCTTTTCAGGGTTTCACTTCCTCTCCTCTTTGTTTTGTTTTGTTTTCTTTTTTTTTTTTTTTTTTTTTTTTTTTTTTTTTTTTTTTTTTTTGAGACAGAGTCTCACTCTGTCTCCCAGGCTGGAGTGCAATGGTGCAATCTCGACTCACTGCAACCTCTGCCTCCTGGGTTCAAGGGATTCTTCTGCCTCAGCCTTCCGAGTAGCTGGGATTACAGGCACCCGCCATCATGCCTTGCTAATTTTTGCATTTTTGTAGAGATGGGATTTCACCATGTTGTCCAGGCTGGTCTTGAACTGCTGACCTCAAGTGATCCTCCTGCCTCGGCCTCCCAAAGTGCTGGGGTTACAGGCATGAGCCACCACACCTAACCTGTTTTCTGTCTTATTCCAATATCAAAGAGCCCATACTGTCTCTCATTATTCTCATAACCTAAGAAGCTCACATTTATTCTCCTTAGGCAACATTCACGGACTGATGGAAGCGTAGAAATGGCCCGGAAATTAGAGATCATTCTAGCCTAACCTCATTTGGTAACTGATGAAGATTAATTGAAAAGGAATTTGTAGTCACAGGATGGCTTGGCAAACTCCATCCATTAGGCTCATCTTAATATTGTATTTGTTTGTTTTTATTATTATTACACCTTTGTTACTAAATGCTTACTGTGTCTAGCCCACCAAGCCTGCCTCCTGGCTCAGTAGCCTGAGTGAAACAGGCCTCGGCACAGAGGAAGGAGGACCTGCCCAGAAAAAAAGACTGGGTGGATGTTGGTGAGGGTCTGGGGTCTTTGCCATGAGTCTCCTCCGAGTCTGGTTGTGGGTGGGATCCCCAGAGGAGGTGTTGAAGAGGTAATGTTTGGAAAAGCTGGAAAGCAAGGCTGTGGTTGATGGGCATAAGAGAGCAAGGATGTTCCAAACCTCACCTTTCCCCACTCCTGGGGAGGGTATGGGAGGAGGGGCCGTGGTGCCAGAAAAATGATGTGCTCGCACAGAGTACAGGACAGAAGAGGGGAGGGAGCCCAGAGGGTCCTGGATGGAGAGCCAGAGGGGTGAGACATCCCCAATTCATTGCAGACTTGAAGATCACCAGCTTATTATTTGGAATGTTTATGACTTCCAGATTCTCCAAGCCATTGATTAAATTCACCAAGCAGGCCTCCAGGGGATGTGTTTATTTTTGTGGTAAATTGGTGTTCTAACAGATTGTGCTGTCAGTGTTAAATCCACTGATGGGATTTAGCCTGCAGACTGGTACTCCATTCAGAGGCATCAGAAGACGGGCTCTATCAGCAAGAGTTATCAAGCATCCAACATATATCAAGTCCCAGGCTTAGGAAATGCAGAAAAAATCTAATACATAATGCACATTTTGGGGACCATTGTGGTCTATTTGGAGACACATGAAATGACTGAAAGTCCCTGGGAGAGCATGGGTCCTGCAGAGGCCCAGAGTGAAATCTAGAGCAAGTGGGATTAGTGCAGAATGGCTTCCTGGGGGAGAGGCTCATAATTCGAGGTGGGCAGAATGGGCAGAGAAGCCCTGAGACGGCATTAAGTATTTTCCTAGGGCCTCAGGCACTTCACACCCTTGGTGGTAGCTCTGTAGCACTCCTTACGCAGTGGTAGTTATTTCTCTACACCTTTATCTGCTCCATTAGACTGAGTATCTGGAAGGGAGGGGACCTTGTTTTCATCTCTGTATCCCGAGGCAGTGCCTGACACACAGGAGTTGCCTAATACCTGTTTGAGGAAGGGTAAGAGGAAATAAGGAAATAAATGTACAGACAGTAGGAATAAGATCTCTCTGGAGGGCATGGAGCAAATTAACTTGGTAGAAATAGAGAGCTGGTGTTGGAATACACATGAAATCAAGTCATATAACTACCGTAAAAGAAGTTTTGGGGACAATTAAGGAAATTTGCATATGGGCTACTGGGTGACGTTGGAATTATTAATTTCCCAAGTATCAAATTGTTCTGTGGTTATGTAGGAGAAGGTCCTTGTTCTCAGGAGATACATGATGACATATTCAGGGGCAAAAGGTCATATTTGCCACTTACTTTCAAGAGAGTATAGCAAAAATAATGTATATATTGTTGAGATATATTATTATATATTAGAGAGAGAATGTGGGAAATTATTAACTGTTGAATACAAGTGGAAGGTATTCATTGTATTCTTTCAGCTTTTCTGTATGTATGCAATTTTAGAAAGTAAAATGACAGGCCCTGGCGTGGTGGCTCATGCCTGTAATCCCAGCACTTTGGGAGGCCGAGGTAGGTGGATCCCTTGGGGTCAGGAGTTCAAGACCAGCCTGCCCACAAGATGAAACCCTGTCTCTATTTTTTAAAAATGTACACACACACACACACACACACACACACACAATTAGCTGAATGTGGTGGTATGCACCTGTAATACTGGCTACTTGGGAGGCTGAGGCAGGAGAATCACTTGAACCTGAAAGGCAGAGATTGCAGTGAGCTGAGATTGTGCCACTGCACTCCAGCCTGGGTAACAGAGCGAGACCCAGTCTCAAAAATAAAGAAATAAGTAAATAAATAAAATGATGGGACTGAGGTAACGGCAGGAGGACACGGCATGAGGAATAAAGCCAGTAGGATGAGTGCCAGGAGTAGACATGAGGCAGTGGATCTTGGAGTCTTGTTTTCACATAGGGAACTCCATTTGGTGGTCTGGTACTGTTCTGTATTGAAGAGGTCTATGGAAACTTACCCCCAAAGTCCAAGGAAGCTGAGAGGCTGAAGAAAGAGGTTGACAAATCCAGTTTCTTAGAAAGAAATATTTAATAGGGACTTTACAAAGAGAAGCAGTGTCTGTGTCTCAGGCAGCAGTGAGACAAGATGGTGGAGCCCTGCCCATTACCTCCCAGATCCAGAACTTATATACCACAGCGAAACGGATATGGGCCAGACACAGCGGCTCACCCCTGTAATCCCAGCACTTTGGGAGGCTGAGGTGGGTGGATCACCTGAGGTCAGGAGTTCGAGACCAGCCTGGCCAACATGGAGAAGCGCCGTCTTTACTAAAAATACAAAATTATCTGGGCGTAGTGGCGCATGCTCCCAGCTATTCAGGAGGCCGAGGCAGGAGAATCGCTTGAACCCGGGAGGGGGAGGTTGCAGTGAGCGGAGATGGCAACATTGCACTCCAGCCTGGGCAACAAGAGCAAAACTCCGTCTCAAAAAGAAAAGAAGGGATATGAAGGACAGTTGCCTAAGAGTAGGATTTACGGTAAGTGCATGCTCTTACACAAGGAGCAATAGATGAAATAGAAATCCTAGAGGCATTCCTGGAACTGGAGTTAATTAGAAGTTAACATTGCACATTTGCATCCAAGACAGAGTTGCCTTAGCCTCCCCAGGTCCTAACTCCCTTCCCCACCTTGAGTATTTATTTGGTCCTCCAGTCTAGGAAAGGAGGCACACTTGGATCTCTTTTGCTGGGAGCTGGCCCCCTGTTAGACTCATGTGCACTGAGTAGGCTGTGCTACCTCCCTCCCCCAGTGTGTAAATATGTTGCTGTGGAGCTGAAGTCAGCCTTTGAGGAAACCGGCAAGACCAAGGAGGTGATTGGCACAGGCTATGGCATCCTGGACCGGAAGGCCTCTGGAGTCAAATACACCAAGTCGTAAGTGAATGGGGACTCACTGGCCTGGCCTGCGTTGCTCCTGGAGGCTTCAGGGGCTAGGAGTTTCTTTCTCCCAGCTAGGCAAACTCACTACAAGGGCATCAGTTGTAGCCAAGACCTGAGTTTGTCCACTGGTTCTGTCCGCAACTCATTGTATGACCTGTATAAATCCCTTAACTTTATGCTTCAGCAGATTTCTCATCTCTAAAAGCAAGACTGTTGGATTATATCACTGATTCTCAGATGCTTGGATTTTACAGACCAGTGTAATTTTTATTTTATTTTATTTTATTTTTGAGATAGAGTTTTGCTCTTGTTGCCCAGGCTGGAGTGCAATGGTGTAATCTCGGCTCACTGCAACCTCTGCCTCCCAGGCAGGTTCAAGCAATTCTCCTGCCTCAGCCTCCCAAGTAGCTGGGATTACAGGCATGCGCCACCAAGCTCGGCTAATTTTTTATATATTTTTGATAGTTATGGAGTTTCACCATGTTGGTCAGGCTGGTCTCAAACTCCTGACCTCAGGTGATCCATCTGCCTGGGCCTCCCTAAGTGCTGGGATTACAGATGTGAGCCACTTTGCCCAACCAAAATGCAATTTTTTAAAACATTGGTAACATAGGATTACCAACTTTTTATTTTGCCAGTTATAAATATATATATATATATATATATATATATATATATATATATATATATATATATATATATATATATATAT